TATGTAAGGGATAATGTACATCCAGCCGGTTGTTATCTCAGAATAAACCCCGACAGGGTGGTCTTGTATCAGCCTGAAGGGGTTTATTCTGAGATAACAACTGGCTAGATGTACATTTACCCGCTTATTACACGGCTACTTGCCACATAAGTAAATAATTAGACGCGAAATATTGATTTGAGTTTAAATATTTGAATGCAAAGCTTCTGTGAAGACAGCAGTTGCGAGCAAGCGGCAAATTCAAACTAGACTGACATTTAAAGGAAACGGTGCAGTCATACCACTTATTACACATTTCACCACAAAAATAATTAAGGCAATAAAATAATTAAGACGAAAATGTTTTAAAACCTTACCAGTTTGTTAGTTCTCTTATAATCCATTACAGCATACAAAACAATGGTAGCAAAATGGCAGCAGCTGCGTTTGCATGAAACGAGAGGAGCGAGTCCATGATACCAGGATGACATAATTAAATAATTGTACACCATTTTGAATCGAGTTTTAATATTTTATTAGCTAAACAAACGCAAAGCTTCCACCAAGAAAAAATAGTTCAAGCAAGAGTACAGCCCCGACTGCTGTTATCCGGATGAGCCTGTGTTATTAGCTTTTACCGGTTGTTATCGAGGGATAGCATACCTCGGAATGTCGCGACTGACCAATCAGAATCAAGTATTCCACAGAGCCGTGTAATAAATAGCATTAATTAATATTTTGAATTTCAAAACGCTTTCATTTTAGCATTTTAGCTTTCATTTTATATTGTCATTTTAAATATAGTTTTTATATGTTTTTTTTATATTTATAATTATTAATATTTGTATTTATTTATTTTAGGGCAGTTAGGTTAGTAATTGTAATTTTAGTAATTCATTTACTAACTGCTTGTTTTCTTAAAAAACACTAGCCTCTCTTGTATTTTTGTATTCTATCTATTTGTTTTCTTTTAATTTATTATACAATTAACAAAAGCAAAAAAGACCTCTAACACTAGCTTGCTCTATTCTTTTTCTATTCAATCTTTCTTTTTATTTATTATATAAT